ATGTATGTGAGTGCACCCATGTCATGCAATGCCGTGGAGGTCAGAAGAGGGCATCAGATTCCCCTGGAACTGGAGTTAAGGATGGTTTGTAGCCACCATGTGGGTGCTGGGACTCGAACCCCAGTCCTCTGCGAGAGCAGTCAATACTTTTAACCGCTGAGCCATCTCACCAGCCCCAGGTGAGCTCATAAGTGTACAGTCTTAATTGTATAGGGCCAGTGCCTTATATGAAAAGGGCAAAAGAAAGATCATTCTGCACACACACCAAGGAAAGGCCATGTGTGTGTATGGGGTCATCTTCAAAGCACCGGGACAGCTCTTTTCAGAACCCACCTGTGCTGGTATCTCACCACATACTTCAGTGCAAACAGAAAGTCAGGTTCTGTTGTTTAACCGCAAGCTTCTATCAGTATCAGTCTATGGTATTTTATTACAGCAGCTGGAGTAGTATCAAGGCAGTATCAAGGTTTATATATAACACCAATATTCTTTAGCAAATATTTTTCTTCACAATGTGAAGAAAAACCAGTGAATACCAATTCTGATATGTTTTGTGTATATGCCTGTCCTCTTCCTGGGTAGAATAGCAATCCATGGAATAAGACCTCAGGTTTGGGAGAAGAAATCTTCTCCTTATTAACTGAGCTCTCGTGGGCATATTATTTAGTCTCAAATCTCTAATTCTTCACTTGCAAGGTGGGGACACTATGAAAAAGAGTTATAAGAGCTGAGATATAGCCAAGTCCTTGGCACACAGCAAAGGAAATAAATATCTTCTTACAGCAAGACACTAGAATGAAAACAACACTGAAAACAAATTACTTACCATACTCTTAGGAAATGTTCCTTTTGAATACGTAAACTTGTTACATTTAAAGTCCAGTCTTCCTTTAACTAACTTTGGCTTTCTTTATATTGTTATATAGTTTCTTCTCATAAGTATACATTTCTTTTATAATCAATCATGTGCTTTTACAAAAATTCTCTAGTTAGCATTTATACACATAGAGCTTCTACATTACATACCTAAAAAGTGTAAGAACAGAAGTCCCAGCATGATGAACTGTGCTTTCATCATCATATAAAAGATCTGCTTTATTTCTCGTGGGAGGACTGGCTGCTTCTTCATCCAAAAGAACCAGTAAAGTTTTCACAGTATCTCTGCCACAGTATGCAGTGCCGTGGTTTATGGCATGAGATTTTGGCTAGAACGAAAATTAATTGTAAGTATATGTAATAGTCACCCCAGCTAGGTGAGCCTGCCCCATGTTTCTATTTCATATGCCACCTTCCTTCTTCCTCTATCAGTAAAGAAACAGGAAACCAGCTATAGGAAGTGGATATAAGGTATGGGAACATTTCTTACCAATTTTCAGATACACAAGAATAATATTATCAGAGAAGACATTAGGTTCTGGTCAGAATAACATTAGGCTTTAGGTAAGAAAAATCAAATCACAGGGCTTGAGAGATGGCTCAGTGGCTAAGAGCACTGGCTGCTCTTCCAGAAGACCAAGATTCAGTTCCCAGCACCCACATGATGGCTAACAATAATCTGTAACTCCAGTTCCAGGGGATCCAACTCCCTCTTCTGACCTCCGTGGGCACTGCATGATACAAGTGCACTTACATACATGTAGGCAATACACTCATATACATAAAATAAATAAATGCTGCTAAGACATGGAAACAACTTAAATGTCCCTCAATTGACAAATAGATAATGAAAATGTACATTTACACAATAGAGTCCTACTAAACAATAAGGAAAGACAAAAATCATGAAATTTGCAGGTAAATGGATGGAACTAGAAATTGTTATACTAAGTGAAGTAACACAGACTCAGAAAAGCAAATGATGTATGTTCTCCCTCATCTGTGGATCTTAGCATGAATGAATCCCTTATATGTGAGTATGTGTCCTGATATAGCAGCAGGAGTTAGGAAAACGGAAAGGAACCATGGGGGTAAAAGGAAAGAAAGAGCCCAAGAGACAGGGATAGTAGGAAACAGATGTTACCAAGGGGGAAGTGGGGAAAACAAAGGCATCCAACTGGGAAGGGTGGATGGACAGACGAACATACAAGAAACCATGAGGGTAGAGAGGAAAAAGGAACTAAAGAGAGGTAAGATAATAGGAGACATGTATTATCAAGAGGAATATGGGGACACTCAAACTGGGGAGAGAGGAGGGAGGTTAGAGAGGGAGAGAGAGAAGAAAGATAAACAAAGCTTAGGTGGCATAAAAATCCAAAGAGAAATATATTAACTCAACCCCCCCCTGAAAATATACATACAATATCTGAACTTGAATGCATGAGTGTACCTGAAGGCTATATATAGTCAGTGCCAGACAGGGTAGTCCAAGAGATGCCCAAAATTATACAGGCTTTTGCCACAGCCCTTGATTGCCTCCCAGAATTTGAAGGTAAGACCTTACTGCTAAAGATAAGACATACTTCAGACACAAGATTTGGAGCAATGGAGCTGGAACTGAACTGGAAGCCACCTCTTCCCAAAGGCTAGCTCTCGTAGCTTTGGAAAGTACTATGCAAGCTGGTAAGGAAGAACATCAAATTGATGGTTCAACCCCAGTTTCAAGGCCTAAAAACTGTATCAATGACCAGCACAACAAACGCCATTGTTGCAGTAATGGCACGGTTATCTAGGAAGTAAGCAACAGCTATCTAATTGGACTTAAAGTCATCTCAATGGGAGGGAACTCATGGGTGGCACTGTGGCTAATACACATGGCTGGAGAGGTTACAGATCCTAAAGAAAACTCTATATCTGTCATATCTCTACACAAATGAATTTCTTACTATATGCTAAATATGGATCCTTATATTTACAAAACAAGTATATCATACACCATTCATCAAAGTAACTTCTTTTTGCAACAGATGGAGGCTATTACAGAGTTCCACAACTCGTCACATATAGAGACTATATGTCTGAGAGATGCCCACCCCTAAGTGGCACATCTAGAGTAGAAACTCTATAAACTTAAGGCTCACGGAACATAGCGGAACAGGGGGTAGAGAGAATACTAATACATCCTCAACTCTCACCAGTGAAGTTTCCTCATACAACAAAGCATAATGCACACAGAAGGCCACAGCTGGCTAAGTTTTAGATAACAAGAGACTGCAGAGTGTGTGTCTTTGGATAGGACTCCTACATTAAATCTAACCCACCCGCCACTAGGGGACCACTGTGGAAGAAGGGGTGGAAAGACCATAAGAGCCAGGCTTGTTGCATGAACATAAGGAAACAGAGGCTTTCAGGCCACTGGGAACTTACTTATATGCACTTGCAACAATGATGACAGCATGCACAAGACCCATGCTAACTCAATCAGACAAAAATCCAGCATAAAATGAGGGAAAAGAACAACAGGCCCCAATACTAGCTGAAGATCTATTGGCAACTGATTTCTGCTAGGTGAGGGAGAGTAGATCTTCTTTAAGGGAGTGACTCTGGATAGGCTGACCAGACTCCAGTGAATGAACTTGCACCGAGGGACATCTGGGTACAAATGTTTGACTGGACAGAACTTATCATATATGACAGAATGTATGAAATCCAGTGGGGGATTGGGAGTATGAAGGGACACAGATGGGGGAGGGGGTCCTAAACTTGATTAAGATCACTTTCTAGTAACCACATAACTAAAACTCTTAACCGATATATGCTTTTTCTCTTATACAAACATGGGGTCTGGCAGTCTAAAACAAACCTACACAGTAGTTATTAAGATCTAACCAAGAGGACCGAAGAGATGGCTCAGCCTGTCTCAAAAATAAAACAATAACAAAAGGCCTAATCAAATGTAAATTTGATATGGAATGCACAAAAAAAATCAATAATAATATTTTTGAAAACCAATACAAAAGAACATAAAAATTTTTTTAAAAGTAAAAGAAAACTCTAATCACTATCTAGTTAAGTTACTATGTGGTCTCAACCACGTAAGTGAAACTCTTTACTCTTATACAAACAGAGGGTCTGGCAATCTAAAACAAACCCACACAATAGTTATTAAGATCTAACCAAGGGGGGCTGAGGAGATGTCTCAGCAGTTAAGAACACTGACTACTCTTGCAAAGGACCTGCGTTCAGTTCCCAGCACGCACATGGTGACTAACAACTGTCCTTAACTCCAGTTCCAGTGGATCCAACGCCCTCTTCTGGCTTCCGTGCACATAATGGGTGCACTTGTATGAAAGCAAAACACTTGTACACATAAAAAAATAAATAAAATTTAATAAATAATAATAAAATTTTAACTAAGATCCAGATGTGGTGGCACATACCTGTAATCCCAGTACTGGGGAGGTGGAGACAGGAGGATACATTCAAGGCCAGCCTCGATTACACAAGTTGAAAGCCAGCCTGGGTTATATGAGACCCTATCTCAAAAAACTAAACAATAACAAAAGATCTAATCAATTATAAAAATAAAAAACAGTTGGCATTCATTCATGCTGATGATTCTATGTTCTAAGCACTATTTTAATAAACTAAACAACAAAGGTGAAAATCTCTACTTTCAAAGAAATCATAGTTCCCTTGATAAGATTTAAAAAAAAAAAAAAAAGTCTACATGGGTTTCTGTGCAAGCACAAGATTATTTAAGGACTTTATTACAATATGGCAAACTATACATGATGGAACTTCATTCCAAATGTCTTATTTTTTTCTGCCAACTATACTTCTGCACTACTCTAAAAACTATCACATTTTCCATTTACTTAACTACTTGCATAAATTAATCTTAATATATATGCACATATATACAGATTTTAGAATGTACAATATTTCTTTTTAATTTTTATTGAATTTTTGCAATTTTCATACAAAATAGTTTGATGGCATTGTAAAGTCTACCTGCACCTCCCCACACACAATTTTGGCCTAATACTGCTACAAAGAGTAAATGTATGCATGTGATGGGATTTATGCATGCATACACACACCCTCATGTGCAAAATTTTAGAGATTTTTATCATTAAAGAAAAACAAAAAATTAGATTACAGAGCACTGTGATATTTCACATGTGTCTGCACAGTGTAGCAACAGTACCCAAAAGACAATGATCAGGATACTGTGGAGTGAAGGATGGTTTGGGGAGCAGGAGGCACATACAGGATAGGAAAGAGCTTCATATGTTCAGGAACTAAGCAGCATAACAAGGTTAGGGAACAAGACAACGAGGAGTTACATAAGATGAGTCTGAAAAAGCTGTGCCTCTCATGCCAGGAAGCTGTGAGTCAGTCAGCTACAAAGGTAAATTCTCATTTTATTAAGTAATCAAATACCATGATGTTACTTAGATTTTAGAAAAATCAGTGATGGCAACATGTAAAATATATTTAAGGGTGAAAATGATCAAATATGAAGACAGGGCTGCAGCACACTAAAAGATTACAGTAAACTAGTTTTGAAATGAAATGGTCTGAACTAAATAGCATTAGAGATAGGCAACTGATAGCTTCTGGGAGAAGAGAACCAGTTTTCTTTAAGGATGTGATGCCAGGTAGGTTGACCAGACTCCCAGGGGAAGGATTCACACCCAAGGACATTTGGGGAACACAAAGTAGACTCAATAATCCTTTAAAAATAATAGTGGACATGAAGTTTTGATGGGGGCGGGGGTAGAGGGTTGTGGTGCTGATGGCAAGGCAGGGTCTGGATACACTGTATGAAAGTCTCAAGGAATCAATAAAAATAATTTCAAAAAAACAGAGCCAGGTATGGTGGTGCATGCCTTTAACCCCAGGACTCAGGAGGCAGAGGCAGGCAGATATCAGTGAGATCAAGGCCTGACTGGTCTACATAATAGGCCAGGTGGGGCTATAGAAAAAACACTGTCTTAAAAAAAAGAAAGAAAGAAAAACAGAACAACACCAAAACAAATTTTAAAAGGGATACCTGGAAAAATTTAAAGTAGACAGAAGAATAAAATAACATGGAAATAATATAATACAATATTATATACAGATGCATATAACACAAATTCTTGGCAATTTATCAGGGAAGTAACTTAACTGCTCTGTGTGCAACATAGTCTCACTGACAAAACAGGGCAAGGATGGTGCCTTGCCCATTGGCTTGAGGAACACCATACCTAAATACTAAGCTACCTTGTCTTGGCTCTCTGCTGTCGCTGTGCCAGGCTCCTCAGCTTGTATCAACATGGTTTTGGCCTCTTTTCTACTTGGCAGCCTCAGGCTACCAGATGAACTATAATGCACAGCTCCACTGGAACTAAAACAAATTGCCTGTCATAATCTGCTACTTAACACATAGTTTTCATCAGTACCAGAGAACTCCACACTGTTTAATACTAACTTCATTGAGTGTTATTTGATTGTACTTTCAGGATTTGTGATTTAGTAGAAAATATAACACTAAGAACCAGTTGGTTTGTATCAGTATTTCTTCTCCCTCCCAAATAGGAGAGATTGGTGTTCTTAATTGTCTATGATGGTAACAGTTCCTGATTTAAACTTGTAGTAATAACTATTGATTTTATGTGTCAGGCTAGTCACTCAAAATGTTGACACACATGAAATAAATGTGAAATAAATGGGGTAGCATCCTAGAATCTCACCCATGATGCACCTTTGAAGGAGACCTAAAAACATGCATTGTTAGAGAAAATAGATAAAAATGACAGCCAAGGCCTGTGAATGAAAGAATAAATAACAAAAGCAAAAGCCTTTTTTTTAATGCACTAGGTACCATGGTGACACCTAACAAAAAGGGGCTTTTGTTAAGTCAACTACAATGAATATACTGTAATAGAGACAGGAAGGGTGCCTCACACCTGGAATCCCAGCATTCAGCAGGTTATGGCAGGACTTTGAGGTCAGCCTGGGCTACATAGTGAGTTCCATACCCAGCCTGTGATATAGAAGAAAACTGTTTCAAAACAAATGAAACAAAATAAAACCAAGTAAGAAAGAGAAAAACAAAATCCACCATAACACGCTAAAATTTTGTTCTGGAGCTAAAATCACGGTAGTTCCTTTTTGTAGGTAAGAATATATTATATTTGACTTTCCAAGTAAGAAAATCAAGGATGATGTATATGTCCTAGAATTATATAATTAAAAGATTTCCAAGCACAGGGAAGAATAAATTGTGATGAACTGGAAACATAGGTAGGTAATAAAAGATTATAGAGATGAAAAATAAAACCCTGAATATAAATTATTTTTAAAAGGACGGTTGCTGTCCTACAGAGAGATTATTGGGATCAGAAACAAGACTATTATATCTAAGTAAACAAAAAAATAAGTTTCATTAGAAAAATTATCTAAAAGTGGCCCAAAACACCTTAATACCAATTAAGAATTAAAGTATTCCCTGCTAAAAAGAGAGACTAGAGATTATCCAATGTCTTTCTTTAACAAATACATTTTCCCAGGATGCTATGATTTACTTAAGTTGAACATAATCCGATTGAGAAAATTAAATTTGTCAACATCATGTTAGAACACAGCCAGTACAATCTTCTGACTTAAGTAGCATCATTAAACAATTTCTGCAGTGAATAGAAGAGATCATGTTTTGTACAGAAGGGCAATGAAAAGTAAATCCATTACCCGTGCAGGACTGATGTCAGTGGTGCTAACAGCTACATCTTGTTCAGAACTGATAATGTTTTTAATCCTCAAATGCAAATCTTCAACAACTTCTTCTACTGCTTTATAAAAGGGATCCCCACTGCTTTGGCCTTTGATCAGCTGCATCTTTATCACGGATAGTATCCGACCCCCTGCAAGGCTGAAAATAGAAAGAAGACTGTGATAGCATTGTAAATGACAGTGGCTTAAAGCTGGAAAACTTTTTCCCAGTGTTAATCAACACCTTTCAAAGAATATAGCTTTGATCTTATAAATCAAACAGTAAAGCATTTAAGAAAGATAAAACCATTAGATTAGAAACAAAATGTTTAAAGTCTTCTAAAAGTCAGTCATTTTACAAGTTGGTGTGTTCCTTGTTTTGAAAGCTGAGGGAAAGTAATTTAGTTATATACGAAATCTGATAGCAGATCACATCCATTTCTACACATGTAATATACTTAAAGTGCATACCTTTACATACTATTAAGACAAGTTACTTCTTATTGCATACCTAGAATGTTACACTAATTGTAAAATCAACTCAGGAGATTGTTAATATTTCTCCTAAATCATAGATGAAAGAACTGAGCCTCATAAAGACTAAATAGCTTGACCTAGAACCTGGGGTTCTAGGGAAGGGAAGAGGAGGGGAGGAAGAAGGCTGACCAGAAACATATGAAACAGTACTGCCATTCATGAAGGATTATTACACACAGAAGAGAAAATCAAGCAAGTCAGTATTGATCCAAAATAAACCAAAGACTAAGCCACCTATGGCCAATGGACAAGTGTTTTTACAAACCTGGTATCAGTCTTTCTTTCTATGCCTGAATTTGTGCTGCAGTTTCTGATCCACAGAATTGACACAGGACCAACATGAGAAACTCAGAGGAAAGACCTCAGTCCACTCTAAAGAGGAAGTCAGAGGTATGCCACAATAGAAAGAAGGGGACTGTCTTTTGAAGTCATGAGGTGTCCATGGAAAGGCTGCAGTGCACAGCAAGACAGTGGTCTGCTGTGACATGCAGTCAGACTGACTGAGTACAGACAGCAGCTTGGCCACTCTCTAGGGAATCCTGCCTTCTCTACTGTAGACACATAAGTGAAAAACTGTGAATTGAAGTTTCCATCCTCAATACCTTATTGTCGGGCTCTATGTCTTAGTCAGGTATTCTCAGAAGCATGATCACATTTCAATGTTTGGTCCAAATAGGAAGGGAACTTCATCAGAAAATCACAGAGAATTTAATGTATGATGATAAGTCATTAGATATGTGTTTCACACATTTTCTTCCTCATAAGAAACATACTCAGCTTTATTTGAAACATCAGTGTCCTAGACTATTAAATCACTATCTCCAAGGAAAGTGCTATGTAACTACATTGTTTTCAAAGCATCAAGGGTGATTTAATGAGAAAACGTAGAAACATTTCATGTAAAAATTAGTTCTTTGAGAAAGGAACCATATTTATCAATCGTCATATAACAGTTTACACTTGACACACAGTAGAGATGACTGATTTTCTGAATAACACTGAATTTTTTTAATTTTTTATTATTTTTAATTTTATGTGTATGAGTATATGGCCTGTACGTATGTAAGTACACCCATGTTGTGCAATGCCATCGGAGGTCAGAATAGGGTGACAGATCCCCTGGAACTGGAGTTACAGATGGTTGTTACCCACCATGTGGGTGCTGTGACTCAAACTTGGGTCCTCAGCAAGAGCAACCAGAACTCTTAACTGCTGAGCTATCTCTCCAGCCCCAACACTGAAGTTTTTAACGATGAAACTGTTTTTTCCCCCTCAGAATATGCCTTCATTTTTACTACTATAAAAGGCTTCATATTTATTTCACTTTATGACTGTGCTTGTGCCTTCAACACTTTGATAACCATTTTCTGCTCCTCAATAAGGAAACCATGCTTAATCCTGCTACGTGTCACAGACACATTTAGCACACACGGAACCCAGGAGCCCTGCTAGTGTGGTTTGTTTTTGACACTTTCATAAGGACTTTAGGTCTCACAGCACTAAGTCCTTCATGTCTGCCTGGTATAAACTATCCTATTACCATGAGCTCAGGACAGCCTAATTTTGTTGGAAGATGAATTGTAGACAGTCTATGATGTCAAATACTGGAGCATTCTAAGTGCTTCTAATCACCATTCCTGGAAGAAGCATTCTGAAATTTTTAAGAGCAAAAGATATAATTTATGCCAGTTATTGCGGCTCACACCTTTTAAAAAAATTTTTTTTATTTATTTTTATTTTATGTGTATGAGTGTATCACTCACATGTGTGTAAGTGCACCTGAGTGATGCAATACCTGTGGAGGTCAAAACAGGGCATTGGATCTAGTCAGCCTACCTAGAGGTCTTTGTTTTAGGAAGGTCAGCTGTTCCTCATCTAGGAGCAATCAGTTGGCAATACTCCTTTAGATAAGATTGGGGTCTGCTGTTTACTGTCCCAGTTCTATGCTGGGTTACTATCTGGGAGTCCCTTTAGCCACCCTGGTCAACAACTCAAAAGAAAGTGTCTCCTATCTGGCATTGTAGCCTTTAGCTATACATATGGACTCAAAAAATTATATTGGCCCCTTTAGTCTTTAGTTATACTTTCCTTTTGGGTGTTTAAGGCCCTACAGTTGGCCCAGATAAACCAATTTATTTTTACTCGTAAGGTCATTTGAAGATCTGTTCCTCAGGGGTCACATGGGCTTGGGAGGAGCCCCTGACTCCTTTCCACCTATGTGAAGATAAGCCAAAGGTCCTGCTCAATTATGGCTGGCTTCACTTGGAAACATGGAGGAAATGTTTCCTCTATGTTGACCCTCCTCTTTGTAGACTGGACACTGGTTCATGTCCATCTCGTGGGGTCTCTTTGGCCCACTTGCTCAAGAGGACAGGTGACCCACCACAATTACAGGACATTTTGAGAGATGCTCATAGTCCCCTGGACTAGTTGACCTAGGAGGACAAGGAGCAAAAACTGTCCTTTATGTCCCTCTGACCAAATTATTATAGGCCTCAAAGTATGTCTGTTAAACATCTAAGAAGGTTAGTTCCACCAGTCTGGTACTTTTAATTACTGTGTGCCATGTAGATAAATCTTGGTCAAAGACCAATTGTTCTCAGATAAACCTTACCTAGACATGTATTTCTTGATCTGGTATGTATAATTTGTCAGTAGGTTATAGGAGTAATATGGTTCCCTCTGGTTTTTAAAACTAACTAGGCATTATTTATCTCTCACATTGTCTAACCCCTCCATCATGGTTTCCCCAATTAAGGTGCCCCCATTTCTCCCTTAATAATACCCTTCTCCTATGGTCCTACCTCTCTTGAGCTCCTTCTTTCCCTTTATCCCCTGGGTTCCTTGTATACCCTTCCCTCCCCTTCCCTTAAACTAATCCAATTTTTATCCATATCTCCCTTATTAATGCCTGTTTCCTACTGTTCTCTTTCAGATTCTTTTCCTGTATATCCCTGGTTCCTTTCCATTATTCTGGTTCCTAGAGTTATGTCTGGATACATACTCACTTATCAGGATTTGGTTCTAGGATCCACATATGAGGGAGAACATATGTCAATTTTTCTTCTGGTTATGTGTTCCTATTAGACCTGCAGATTGAGCAGTGCCTGGTCTATTCCCTCTCACACAGTGGCTATCAGAAGAGATTGGAGAGTTTGTTCAGTTAGTAAAATGCTTGCCACACAAGCATGAGGACCTTCATGGATCCCCAGTACACACATCAAAAGCTGGGTGCAGTGGATTACACTTACAATCACAGAGTTGGAGAGGTAGAGGCAGGCAGATCCCTGGGGCTCACTGGTCAGACAGCCTCGCCTATTGCCAAGCCTCAGGTCCCCATGAGAGGTCTTGTCTCAAAAAACAAACTGGACAGCTCCTGAGGAGGTTGACCTCTGGCTTCCACACACATGCACAGCCACACACACCCATGAACACACAAACAGAACAGAATTTCCAGTTCACCAAATGCTCTCAAAATCAAAGTGAGCCCTGCTTTTCACTTGCCGCTTGCTTTGCTCCGCCTACTCCTTGACCTCCACTCTTGTTCCACCTGCCTACCCAGCAATGCACTGAGGAGCATGTTTACAGTGTCACCCAGCATTCTTCATTTCTGTCAATGAGAGGGCCAACCCAGAGGCCAGGAGTCTAGGCTGACTCTAGGAATTCTTTCATTTATGGAAGAGGTTTCTTCCTCAGCTGTTATTTTTAACTTAACTTTCCGTTAAAAGCACAAAGAAAACCTGGATGAAATGTAGCCAAAACTAATCCAAAATTAGCACTTTAACACTCTGTTCTTTTTCTGGGAATTAATCTTATCAAAGAGTTTTTGTAATAAATTCTGTAAAATATTTTAGTTTAATTAGCAACATTTTATAAGAAATTGTTTACAGGGACTGGAGTGATGGCTCAGCGGTTAAGAGCACTGGCTGCTGTTGCAGAGGACCCGGGTGTGATTCCCAGCACCCACATGGTAGCTAACGACCATCCATAACTCCAATTCCAGGGGATCCAACACCCTCTTCTGACCTCCGCAGGCACTGCACAACATGGGTGAACCTACCTACATGCACTCATACACATAAAATGAAAATAATAAAATATTTTTTAAAAAGAATTGTGGGTAGCTATTAAAGTATTAGAATCAAAAAATAAGTATGTATAGGATCCTTTGGAATAGAACTGGTTATGACTTGATTATAGTGTTTACCTAGGGGCTATTAACACTGACTATTTAAAAAAAAGCAATCCCGACAGCGATAGAATATCATATCCTATATAATAGCTATTTTATATATTATAGTGGCAAATTTTTAAATTAAATGTTTTATAGTTGCAAGCGCTGGAGAGTGTTGTCAGTAAAGTTTGTATAATTTGGAGGTTAATTGGTTTTCTCCTAACTAGACTGCACTTATTTTCATAGCATTAAAAATGACATGCATATTATATATTGCCTGAGTTCTCATTCTACCCCATGTTAACTATTTGGACCTCTGCCAAATAAGGTAGTATTGGGTTGGGTTACTGGCCTGGTAAAAATCCCTGTTGTTAAAGATGGTCTTCCAAGTGGTTTTTTAACTTATTCTTTTACAAATTTGAGAGGGTTTTAGGTCAATTATGCATGTT